CTGTCCCCATAGACGGGGCTTTGCCCACCGGTGAAGCACGACGCCTTTTAACACGAGCACTCCACTGGCTCTCGCCACTTGAACTTTCCTCTAAAATATACGGATTTGGTTTGCTTCCGACCAAACAGCTGGATTTTAATGCTGCCTCTTGTGTTTTCATTGCTACTGGCTGCTGGCCTATTCTGTATATAGTTGCTATTTCTCCTGTTCCAGAACTAGTTGTATTTAACACTCTCTATTCGTCTTATGGGTTGAGGTGCAAGGGAAGCCACTTTGCACGATTAACATCTGGAGCTTTTTTTGTAAATATTCGCTTAAAAAAAAAGCCATTATGCCAAGGTTAAACGAGCTAATGCAGGAAGACTACATCTTTCCAAAGAGGTGTATGCACCAAAGCATTGTTTACACTGCAGAAGCTATCAACTTTAATGTGTGTAATTGTAACTATCGTTTTTTGAAAAGATGCTGTAAATTTTCCTTTTCAAACACCTTACCCAAAGAGAGAAGTCCAGACTGAACGTGCACTACACGAGAGCCTTAAATCAGATGAGTTTTTTGCCTTGAACGAAGGGCGGCCATCTGTTTCATTGTGTTGGTCATCGCCGCACCGTTTCCTCCATCAGCACATTGGCAACATTTACTATTGTAGGGCTGACATCCACTTCCTGTCATCAGCAGACACATGGGTCGAGCCGTTGAAATATCAAACAAAGGGAACCTCCTGGTGTCGCCTGGAACATTCAGAGAGCAATTTGTCGAATGTTTCCTTCAAAATAAATTCTGCCCCAACAAGTTGGTCATCTTTGAATGATTGTTTTTTTTTTTTTCATCCAGTTTTTAAATATCTTCCAATGAAAAACAAATGTTTTAATGCAGGGTTTTATGCAGTCATTAAAAGTATATTTGTGTAAAGTTTCTCCTTAAAGATTTTCTGCTCCCACCAGCTACAGCAAAGTTCCTCAAAGCCTGATGTAGCCAATCTGCATCAGACCATCATGTTGCCACCTTCATGTTGGTGGATAGTGGCTCTTTGCTAGCACTCCAAAGTCATAACCTTTTGCAGTCGTAGATGTTTACGATTTTTTTTCTTGAAATCTGGGTGTGGTGTGTTGCTTTTTGAGATCGTTTAGCCTACTCCATGTCTGTTTAAGCGATTCCTTTTTCTATTGGCAGTGTGTGGCATGTGAAACTGAACCATAAAAAACATTAACAGGATGACCTATTGTATTTTCACACAAAGGCAGGTTGGTTTTCTTTTTTTTTTTTTTTAACTTAATCTATGATTTGTATTTGCTTAGGTTACCATTAGCTGATGCTCACATTAGTTTGGACTGAAACTCAAGTGTGCCCAATATAAAGCCAACAAAACGGGAAAGTACGTTTTCAGTACAGTGTACAAAAGATCAAACATTTGCGTAACGTGGCCGCTAGATGTCACTGTTGCACACGAAACTGTTTTAACAAGTTCCTCGTCTGATCAGACATAATATTCATGGCCCGAATACAGTTTTAATATTGGACATTTGCACTGGTAAACAGTTGTAAAATTGCGTAATATACAACTTCAACATTTTTTAAAATACAAAGAACTAGGGAGCGTTGCATAGCACTGTGGTTGTAGCGGGCGGCCGGAGATCCAGTCCCGTCTGCGGCTCTTTTACTGCATCTTTTAGGCCGTTAGTTCCGGGAAAAAAAAATAAAACAAGGATCAGATGGATAGTGTAGAGTTCCTATAATCCACATACGCCCAAAAATATACACAGGTTATTTATATATATATATGTTATTGGAATCATTGTTCTGATGGAACCCCCAATCTTCCTCAAGAGGAATGATCTTCAGATGCAGACAA